AAATGATATCATTTTACATCCAGCCTCCATTACAACTGACCCTCCACCAGCTCCTCCTATTGTTCCCATACCAGAATTGAGACGTTCTCAACGACAGACCCAAATACCATCAAGGTTTAAGGACTATCATTGCTTCAACGTGCTTCCTCAATCATCTTCTCCGGCTTCAGGTACACATTTTCCCCTTCATCAATACTTGAGTTATTCTCGTTTTTCTCACCCATATTGTGCTTTCCTTCATTCTTTATCTTCTGATATTGAACCTGCAACATTTAACCAAGTTGCTAAGTTTCCTGAGTGGAGGGAGGCCATGCAGACTGAACTTAATGCCTTAGAAGACACTCACACATGGTCTCTTGTTTCTTTGCCTGCTGATAAACAGCCGATTGGTTGCAAATGGGTTTATAAAATCAAAAGGAAATCTGATGGCAGCATCGATTGATACAAAGCCCGTCTTGTTGCTAAAGGTTATACACAAGTTGAAGGTATTGATTATCATGATACTTTTGCACCTGTAGCTAAGCTTGTGACAGTTCGGGTTCTTTTGGCTATTGCTGCTATGAAACAATGGTCCTTACATCAATTAGATGTTCAGAATGCCTTTCTCCATGGTGATTTACATGAAGAAGTGTATATGTCATTGCCTCTTGGACATCCTCGCAAGGGGGAGCATGGTCTTGTCTGCAAGTTGAACAAATCCCTTTATGGTCTTAAGCAAGCGTCACGCAATTGGTTTGCCAAATTTTCTCATGCTTTACTTGCTATTGGATTTACTCAATCATTTGCAGATTACTCCCTCTTTTCTTTGTCTTGTGGAGCTTCATGTGTTTATGTCTTGGTGTATGTCGATGATTTGGTGAGCACAGGTAGTAGTCCTCAACTAATCAACCAGGTGAAAGAATTCTTATTTAGTCAATTTCGCCTTAAGGACTTAGGTCCTCTCAAATATTTTCTGGGTATTGAGGTTGCTTCTTCCCCTCAAGGGATCTATCTTTCTCAACGTAAGTACACTATTGAGCTTCTTAATGACGCTGGTCTTCTTAGATCTCGAACTGCTGATACACCTATGGAGCAGAATCTGAAGCTTCTTCCTTCTGATGGTTCTCCTCTTATTGATGGTTCCATGTATCGCCGTCTGATTGGTCGTCTCATATATCTCACCATTACAAGGCCGAATATCTCCTTTACAGTAAACACATTGAGTCAGTTTCTTCAGTCTCCTCAAAAATGTCACTTGCATGCAGCACATCGATTGCTTTGATATTTAAAGAAAACCCCAGGTCAAGGTATTTTACTTTCTTCTAAGGGTTCTCTCCAGTTGACTGCTTTTTGTGATTCTGATTGGGCAAGTTGTCTCACCACTCGACGCTCCACCACCGGTTACTGCATCTTTCTTAGTAATAGTCCTATTTCTTGGAAGAGTAAGAAGCAAAACACAGTCTCTTTTTCTTCTGTTGAGGCTGAGTATCGTGCCATGGCCACCACCACTAAAGAAATTATCTGGTTGCATAGCTTATTGTCCACCTTTGGCATTCAACTCCCTACTCCTACTCCATTATATTGTGACAATCGAGCTGCTCGTCATATAGCTGCTAATCCTGTTTCCCATGAAAGAACAAAGCATCTTGAGATAGATTGTCATGTTGTTCGTGAGAAATACCAAGCTGGTCTTATTCTTCCACTCTCTATTGCTTCTGCAGATCAACCTGCTGATATCTTCACAAAGGCATTAGGCAAAGATCGCTTCTTCTATCTTTGTGACAAGCTAGGCATTTGGAATTTTCATGCTCCAGCTTGAGGGGGAGTATTGGAGATAATTATGGATTGCAGATAATTATGGTTTTAGATTGCAGATAATTATGGATTTAGTATATCTGGTATTTATTTAAATTATCTGGTATATCTGAAATATATTTGGCATATCTGTACTTATCTCATAGAATTTCTTAGTTATTATTTAGTAGAATTCTCAGCTGATTTAGCTCAGTTGATTTAGCCGCCTTTTACTCTGATTCCTTGTATATATGATGTACTGATCTTTTTCAAAGAAATATACAGAAATAGTATTCCATTCATAAACTTATCAAGTAATTTTGATGATTTCTTGACTTGAAAACCAAAGGACACACATTTCGCTGTTTGAATCATTTTGGCTTTGGCGGAGGGGAAAGTGTTTTTGGTCTGGAAAAAGTATGAGCCAATATTGAAGTGACACGTAGGACGTTGCTAAGAGAGCAGTGGGGACAGTGCTTTGTTTTGAATCGATGGGCCTCGAGTTTGAATTTTTTTTTTTTTTACTAGTTTCACATTTTGGATCTTATAAGGCAGCCCAATTCGCCGTAAGGCCCATTATATATCTGGTGTGATGCTGTCAATATGAAGGTAATCAGTTATACTGGGCTGGTAGGACTCACAAGGTGGCTACTACCTGTACAACTTTTTTATTTTTCTCTATAAATTAATGTACAAAAATTAATGTCGATTTTTTTA